CTCTTCCCTTTCTTCTCTTTTTTCTTCCTCTCTTCCCTTTCTTATCTTTCTTCCCTGCATTCCAATCACACAGCACTGAACAACTCTTATTTCTTTTAAGAACCGACCAAACCGATCGACCGAACGGTCGGTTAAACGGTCGGTTTGTACAGAGAGGTAAAAAAGAAAATTTCCGACCGACCGAAACCGACTATGTCGGTTTTCGGCGTCGGCTTAGTCAAAAACCGACCCGACCGACCGATGCTCACCCCTAATAATAATGATTAAGATAGTATTATTAGTTTGTTTTTATCCCTAACAAGGATTTTAGAGAGATGTTGAATAATGATGGTAGGGAGGATAAATTGGTCACTTTTAATCTTAGTTTTAAGTCTCATTTAAGTCTCAAACTTTTTGTTCACTCTTAGATAGAAACGCTAAGCAGGGAAARAAAAAGAAAAGAAAAAAGGGTGCAAAACTAAAGAATATTAAAGTATGCAAATTAAAGAAGAAAGTAAGGTGTGTACCATCTCATTACCTTACATTCATCCAATTTGACGGTAGAGAGGGTTTCAAGGGATATGGTCTTGGATCTGTGAAGATAATTTAACTTAAAATAGCAATGATAATGTTGATGATAATTGTGCATATAGATCCACTCTTTCCGGGGAAATAATATTTTTTTCATCAACCATTCGTCCAAACACTTATAATTATGACAGTGAAGTCACAAGTTTTGATCACTAATCTAATCTTTGTCCAAAAAGTTAGAACAAGATCAAAAGAAGAGTTTCCATGGAAATGGATGGCCTTGGATCTTTGAACATAATTGAAGTGTGTAGGGTATCYCCTTCTCCTTCACCTGCCCATAGCTCCCTTCCTCTCACTTTCTTCGACATCCTTTATTTGAAACAYCATCCAATTCAACAACTTTTCTTYTACCAATTACCATCCATTGACRCTGAGRTCTCATTTCTTGACSCCATTCTCCCAAAGCTCAAAACCTCCCTCTCGCTCGCTCTCGGCCGCTATCTTCCTCTCGCCGGGAACCTCCTTTGGCCCCACCACTCCGTCCTCCCCACCGTTGAGTTTGTCGAAGGTGACACTGTTTTGTTGACGGTGGCCAAGTCCGACGCCGACTTTCACCATCTTTCTGGCAATGGGTTTCGTAATGTTGCAGAATATCATCCTCTCGTCCCTAAGTTGTCTATGTCTTGTGATCGGGTCGCAGTTATTGCTCTCCAAGTCACTGCGTTTCGAAATAGAGGATTTTCTATTGGAATAACCATTCACCATGCAGTTATGGATGGAAGAACTTCARCTTCGTTTGTCAATTCATGGGCTCGTATTTGCAATACTCTTCAYGTCACTGGAGAATTGTCTTTTCCAACCACGACATATGACAGGTTGTTACTACCATTAAACTCAAAAGATTAAGTATTCATACATTTTTCTCTACCATTTCTAAAATAACAATAGTAAAATAAAAATAATAGTAATTAGTTATCGGATGGTATGTATTATAATATTAATTGGAAATTCTATTAAATTTTTGGATAAAATTTAGGCGTTTATTGTTAAGTAGATATCTTCTTACTTTACTACCATTAAAAATGAAAAATACTTAGGTACTATATCTTTTGCGCACRACCATCGATTATTTTACAAATAAAAGAGAGATACAACAAAGATTAAAAAAAATTAAAAATAATACCGTCATAGATATATAGGTGCTCACCAAGTCACTGGTTGGCACCTAAACATTTTTCTTAAAAAGATATGCCTACTTAACTTACGAGTAAGCACTTAGTTTTTATCTCCATGGAGGACAGAAAAGATGATATATATATATATATATATATATATTTTAAAATAAAGAATTGTAACTTTTAGGAAGATCAGTGCTTCTTATACATGTTAACTAACATCCAACACCAAAAGCTCTCGTTCAACTACTTAATCATTTATTCACATTCTTAACCCAGACCATCTATCGAAGATCCGACGGGTCTTACAGAAACTTACGCGAATGCATGGCTGAACCAGGAAGGACCCAACAACCGGAGCTTGAACATCAAGTTACCCAAAACTTCACCCACCTTAATCCGATGCACTCTGGAGTTGAGTCCCCAAAACATCCAAAAGCTAAAGCAACGGCTTCTAAAGCAGCAGCAGCAGAGTAATTGTGATTATCACAATAATTATATCTCTTCGTTTGTGGTGGCAACTGCTTACCTCTGCGTCTGCATGGCCAAGACCGAAGCCTTGAAAGAGGGAAGCTTGGTAATCGTATTCCCCGCGGACGTTAGAGCTCGTTTGGAACCGCCTCTTCCTCCAAACTACTTTGGAAATTGTTTGGTTCCTCGCTATGCTTTGATGGAAAGAAGTGAGATTTTGAGTGAAAATAAAGGGGCAGCTGTGGCTGGCAAGGCAATATTTGAGGYCATTAGAAGTTTGGAAAAAGGAGCCTTGAAAGGGGCAGAGGAGTGGAGATTTGTCATAGATAATTATTCAAGCAATAACACTGATATTTCTGCTTTACCAGAAGGCCTGCTTGTAATTGGTGGGTCGCACAAGTATGAAGTTTACAGTGCGGATTTTGGGTGGGGGAAGCCGAGGAAGGTGGAATTGGTGTCGGCTGATGAATCGTCGGYAATTATTTCTCTAACTGAGAGTGGAAATGGCGATGGTGGGATGGAGATTGGATTGGTTAAGGAGAAGGATGAGATGGAAAGTTTCGTTGCTTTGTTTGCTCAAGGTCTTCAATCTCTTTGAAAACATAAATATCGACACTTAAGAAAAAGGGGATTCCGGGCTAGAAAGGACTGTCAATTACTACCCAACTAAGCTAAGCTTGTGACTTTTAATAAGGATTCTTGAATTTAAGGTGCASTTTYAAGGTTTTTGCCTACAWTTTGACATGTCATATAGATACAACTTGAGATAAATGATAAAAATTATAAAAAAARATTGAATTTTCAAAATGACAGAGTTGGTATGACTTACCTTTTTATACGACTTTAGGTTCTCGTTCGTTTTCCTGAATTCTTGTTTTTGGAGATGATTACATTTCTATGTGTTAGTTTTCATTAAGCCCTTTTAAATGGAAAAAAGTATTTCAAAAATAGTTATGATTTGAAAATTTGAGGAATTTGGAGAGACATGTTTCTAAAAATTGAAATCTTTTAATTATTTACAAAATTGAGGTTTTTTCTTTGAAAAGGTATGATTTTAAAAATTGATTTCACGGAGGTAAAAAMCTACTTAACAATTTAAATAGAACAACACATATCAAGAGTGCTCGTCAAAGACTGAAAAGATAAGTTTTTTTTTTTTTTAATAATTGTCGAAACTAAGAGTATATACAAAGAGCATTCTTCTTATTTTCTTAATGGTGGAAGATTGTTGAAGACCGCATGTAAAATTAAGTTAGATATTTGATTTTGGGGCATTTGAATTTGAATTATTATCGTACCGTATAGATTGTGTTGAAAACTTTTTTTCTTTCTAGTTTTCACTTTTTTTTTTCTCTTTTATAACATCTTGACATTTTTTACAAACACATCTTTTATAAGAACTTTTTTCTTCACATCTTTTTCATATCAACTATTATTTTTCATATTTAAATATGAAAAATAAGATTTAGTAGCTCTCTATATTTACATTTAATATTATATATTCTTTTAATTTGTTTGTATGCTAATTTTTTAAACTTTAATAATAAAAGACAAAATAAATTGTAATAAGATATATAATAACATTTGAATTCAAAATAAACCAAACAATTAAAATATGAAATCTAATTTTACAATAATATGAATCAACATTAAGTGTGTCAAACAAGGAAAAATAACCAAGATGTGAATGCTATTTTTTATAACTAACTTTCTACTCTAAYTTTTTTCTTAACATGTAAAACTTCAAGAGCATTATCATCTTAGTTAGATTCTTCCGTTTCTATTCTATGCATTTCTTGAACCACAAATTGTCCTTTTGCTCGATCTCTTTCATTCTATTTGTCCATGCGAATGAGAAATTTGAAACTTTTTCCTTGTGTGAGGATGAAATTTCGATAAATTTTAGAATTCTCTTTCTTCATCTGAAAATTGCATTCAATGAACAAAAGAAGTTAGAAATTTTTTTGAGGGGATTTGTTTAAAAAATTATTTAGTGGCATTTTATGAGTATCGGTTGAATTTCCATTGCATCCAACTATCACTTCTRCAGCTTCAAAAGCGGTTATATTTGCAGTCTCTTGACTATATCCACAATTGATGCAAATTTTACATTTCTCAAACTATATGAGTTGTCTTTGTTAACTATATCCACAATTGATGCAATTGTAGGACATTAAATTCAGTATATTTTTTGAAATGTAACTGTGACTTTTATATATAAGATTTTCGTTAGGTGTAGAATTTGTGTTAAAATTTTGAAAATATAGATAAAAATGATCACCTCTGAAAAATACAGGAATTGAAACGAACATTTCGAAATTACTCGAATCAAAATGAATCAAAGTTAGAAATATAGGGATCAAAATAAATATTATTTTAAGATTTCAAAGTGGAACAGCAAAAATGAACTAAAACTAGATTAAGATATAGAATCTTAACGTTTTATTCTATGGGTTTTAATTGATTTGGTTGACTCTTTGGATTGATTTATATTCACTCTTAAATACAAACGTACGCTAAGAAGAAAGTGATGAGGTCAAGGCGTGTGTCCCGGCCCATCCCATTATTTTATATTCATCCAATTTGACAGTTGAGAGTTTCAAGGGATCTGGTCTTGGATCTGTCAACATAATTTAACTCAAAATTAGCAATCATAATGTTGATGGTAATTATGTATAGATCCACTCTTTCCGGGGAAATAATATCTTTTTCATCAACCCTTCGTCCAAACACTTATAATTATGACAGTGAAGTCACAAGTTTTGATCACTAATCTAATCTTTGTCCAAAAAGTTAGAACAAGATCAAAAGAAGANCATTCATCGACAAACACAATCTGATAAAGGTAACTGCCTGTTCATTCGTCTCCACCCAATCTTCATCTTTCATCCCTGCTGGTCGTTCCTTTAAAGCTTTATTCAACTTCTTGCAGGTCAAGTAATCCTTAATCTGCATCTTCCAATATTCGAAATTGGCCCCATTGAACTTCATGATTCCTTCAAAACCTGACTTCTCTGCTGATCCCATAATTTCTGAACCAAACGCTCTGATACCAATTGTTGGGAAAAATAATATAGATTAATCGATCATCCTGTAAATTCTTCAAACAGGAACTATTTGATTTTCCCCTTCCACAGGCTAACAGCAGATAAGTAAGTAACAATAACAAAGGAATAAGAGATAGGGATAGAAAAGCTTAACACCACACGGATTATACTGGTTCGCCCCTATCTTGGGACTACGTCCAGTCTTCTGCAAAAAAAGCAGGTTCAACTATATTTGAGAATATTACAATGGAGATCTCACTCAAGATATTACTCTCTTGCTTCTAAGTACCTTAGCAATGGTTACCTAGGATTACACAATTGAAAATACCCTCACTAAACCCACGAGATACAAACTCTTTTTTCATACACTGTCCACAACCACTCGAGTCTGTCTTATTTTGACTCTGTACCAATGCCTTAACAAAAGGGTTCTATTTATAAGAGGTCAAATATCCCAATCCTTATAAGAAAACAATATTGTAATCCTTATTTGACAATAATATCATACTCCTTGTAGGAATTGGTAGTAGTGTTTGAAAATCCTTTTCCTTGTAGGACACGAGTCATCTGTTTTGACTCCATTATCCCAACAGTAAGTAATTTGTCGCGATATGATGATGTCACCATGGTCAGAATAACAAGTTTTATAGAATCGGGTCATATCTCATTGGCGCCACCAAATTTATATCATCCTTGCGACTATCCCTTTATTAATCATATATTACAATGGACAATTGGTTAAATTTTAATGGGTACCATTTTAATAGGTCTCTATATTTAGCAAAGTGTAAATTATAAAGATTTAACCCATTTGTGTAAATAGGTTCTGTAAATGGTCTACTTATCCCTTTGGAATAGCATTTGGCTATCTTAAAAATCTAATGGGTCTTGGAAATTGGGCTTTTGAGAATTGATTGGGCTGAAACTTTTTAAAATTTTATTTTTTAAATAAATATTAAAAAGAGAACATAAATATTGGGGCGGAGTGGGGACTGGGTTGGCAGACCCTCACCCAACCCTGCTCGATCCACGTGGGGTCATCCCTGATAAAAACATTACTAAATGAATTATAGATGCGTTAGCGAGTAATATTTTGAGTGATTTTAAATATTTTAAAATTAATTTTTTAATTTGAAAAACATAATCTAGAAAGTGATTTGGACAATAACACATGTCAAGATGACTCTCGAACACATTCAATAAATAGACAAAAATGTGTCCAACCTTTTGATTTCTTTGCCATCTATGAAAACGGATTTCTTTACCATCAAGTTTACATGTAATTATAAACTCTAGTACTTTACCTTTCCTCTTTTTCACCTCCATGAAAAGTAAGGTGTTTTGTATATTAATCTACAAATAATACTCGGCTTTCGGAAGATAAATATTTAACAACTCATTATTATTTATTAAATATTTCTATTTTTACATTTATTCCTCTTAGTTATCAAACATTTAATGACAGAAAACACAAGATTTTCCTCGAAATTCTACCAGATCGCGGAGGAGCCAAGTACTTTTGGGAAGGCCGGCAACGACGTAATAGTTTTGGTGTTTTCTTTAATGTGTGTTTCCCCATGGAAAAAGACCAATTTGGAATCGCATCACGAATAGCATTGGGAAACCCACTTTCCTATTAAGCCACAAAGTCAAAGTTTGAAGAACTGTCTTCTTCAATCTTCACACACCACAAATTCAACTCAATTCAATTCTTCAATACCCCATGGATCTTATTGCTCATCCTCCATCCCCAGTCGACATAATTGAAGTCTGTAGAGTAACTCCTTCTCCTTGTTCTTCACCCGAGCAACAATCACTTACTCCCCACTCTCTTCCTCTCACTTTTTTCGACCTCCTGTGGCTCAGATTTCATCCTATTCAACGCCTTTTCTTCTACCAAGATACTGCGATCTCATCTCTTGACGCCATTCTCCCAAAGCTCAAAACCTCCCTCTCTCTCGCTCTCCGCCGCTATCTTCCTCTCGCCGGGAACCTCCTTTGGCCCCGCCACTCCGTCGTCCCCACCGTTGAGTTTGTTGAAGGTGATGCCGTTTTGCTGACGGTGGTCGAGTCCGACGCCGACTTTCACCATCTTTCTAGCAATGGGTTTCGTGATGTTGTAGAATATCATCCTCTTGTCCCTGAGCTGTCTATGTCTCATGATCGGGTTGCAGTGATTGCTCTCCAAGTCACCGTGTTTCGAAACAGAGGATTTTCCATTGGAATAACCATCCACCACGCAGTTATGGATGGAAGAACTTCAGCTTCGTTCGTCAACTCATGGGCTTGTATTTGCAATACTCTTCAAGTCACAGGAGAGTCTTCTATCCCGATCGCGACATATGAAAGGTTGTTATTAAGTTCATAGGTTTAATCATTTATTCGTAGCAATTCTTCCTGCTATTCGTAAAAAGGTAAAAGATAGAAATAAAAATAAAAGTGTAATAGTAGTTAGTAATGAGGTGGTAAAGTATTATTAATATGAATGAGAAGTAAAGAACGTGAATACTACTTAGTAATTGTCTGTCAGCATTCATCTCTTAGTCATCACCATTAAATTTTTTATAAAATTTAGGTTATCTCTTAGTCATCACCACTAAATTTTTTATAAAATTTAGGTTCTAACTATTTAATTAGTAGGTATCCTCGTACTTAACCACCATTAAAAATAGAAAATACTTAAGTGCTAACCGGTCACGAACACCTGTCTTTTACTCACCAACGTTGATTTTTTTACAAATAAGAGAGAAATAGATGCTCACCAAGCTGTCACTTATCAGCACCATAGGAGGAAAAATATGATAGCAATTTACTTTATTTTCACTCTCTTACTTCATGCATTCATCTCCTAACTTATGGAGAAATGTTGATCTCCAACATCAAACCCCATCAAGTACTTCATCATTTATTCATATTCTTAACTCAGGACATTGATCGAAGATCCGATCAGTCTTACAGAAATTTACTTGAACGCATGGCTGAACCAGGAAGGACCCAATAATCGGAGCTTGAACATCAAGTTACCCAAAATTTCACCCACCTTAATCCGATGCACTCTGGAGTTGAGTCCCCAAAACATCCAAAAGCTAAAGCAACAGCTTCTTAAGCAGCAGCAGCAGAAGAGTAGTTGTGATTCTCACAATAGTTATATCTCTTCGTTTGTGGCGGCAACTGCTTACCTCTGCGTCTGCATGGCCAAGACCGAAGGCTTGAAAGAGGGAAAATTGGCGATCGCATTCCCGGCGGATGTTAGAGCTCGTTTAAACCCACTTCTTCCTTCAAATTACTTTGGAAATTGTTTGGTTCCTCGCTATGCTTTGATGGAAAGAAGTGAGATTTTGAGTGAAAATAATGGGGCAGCTGTGGCTGGCGAGGCAATTTTTGAGGCCATTAGAAGCTTGGAAGAAGGAGTCTTGACAGGGGCAGAGGAGTGGAGATTTATCATAGATTCAAGCAACAGGGCTGCTTAAATGTCTCCTTCACCAAAAGGCCTAATTGTGATTGGTGGGTCGCCCAAATATGAAGTTTACAGTGCAGATTTTGGGTGGGGGAAGCCGAGGATGGTGGAATTGGTGTCGGCTGATGAATCGTCCGCAGTTATTTGTCTAACTGAGAGTGGAAATGGCCATGGTGGGATACAGATTGGATTGGTTAAGGAGAAAGATGAGATGGAAAGTTTCGTTGCTTTGTTTGCTCAAGGTCTTCGATCTCTTTGAAATCCATGCAAAATACTCTTAATTCACCTAATCCCGAGAACTTTAAGAAATGATTTTAAATTAAATAATTTAAAATGTAATAAATGATTTTGAATTATTTATGTTGTTTGGAACCAGAATGATTTGAAATGAATTAAATTACATTTCTTTTTTGAGAGGTTGGTCGAAAATAAAAAGAAAATAAAAATTTTATTGATTTAATCTAAATGTATTATTTAGAAATTTATTTCAATTACACTCCTTTTATTTTAACCATTAAATTTAGGTGGTAAACAAAAAACACCTAGTTCCTTTGTAAGTTTACCAATACAAGAATTCATTTACAATTGCACAAATATCCTGACCTTAATGATACACAAGGTGAGTTACTTCTATGCATTGACAAATTCTAGTCCCATATATATATATTTTGATAACTATGAGTATCCGGATAATCTTACGGGACAATCGTCTGACCCTACAATATTTGGTGCTTGAAAAGGAAAGACAATGAATTACTAATTCTTACGGTGGACGGCCATTATATGTATTTGAACTCATTCCTGTGTTAGTTAAATCAAACAAATTTTAACACACACATACATAGGGGAACATATAATTAATAAATTAAAAAGTTAACAACAAAATAGTAAAGATGATGACCAAAATAATAACTTTTTAAAGTTCAAGTTTTTAAAATAGACACTTGAAAATTTATTGGTAGATAAATTATTGGAGGATACTTCATGATGTGACTAATAGTTTTACACCGTTGGATCATAGATAAACTACAAAACATAGTTTTAACCATATTCAATGGTAATTTAGGGACATGTAGTTTTTGAATATAATATCAAAGTTATCGTCGGTTGGTGGTAGCTACATTGTAGTAGCGTCATTCAATAAGTTTTTCTCAATATCAGTCGGACCCTATAATAGTATACTAGTCAAAACTCCCACCTCTACCTACTTATTAGGAGAGGAAACAAAACTTATATTAATTTTAGTATTAAAAAGATACAAAACTTCAATTTATATCACTCAGTTAGACGAGTGGGTCAATTTGAACTTTCAAATATCATCTATTTAAACTCTAAGTTTAATTTAAAAAAAAAACTCTGTATAAATAATTAATGTTTCCTCAAAACTAAACTTCAAAAATGTCCATGGACACAAATAAATTATACAAAACTCAGATTACAAAATACTTAAAAATTTTGCCAGAGAAATTTCCAAAGCAAAAATACTTAAAAAAAGTGTAAACTTAATTAATAGAGAATATTTAATTTCACCATTTATTGTTGCAAATTCACAGCTTAAACAAGTACCTGAGTAAAAAAATAATAAACTTCCCTCAAATATAAATAGACAATATATGACACAATGATGCATCCACTTTTTGTTCAATATTCTTAACATTCCATTGCTTTTATAATAATAATAATAATTCATGTTTAAAGATAAAAATTGAAGCATAGATTGATAAAGAAGACATTATACGACCATTTTTTCCTTCAATTCATACTAGTTTTGATTTTACCAACTTAATTTCCATAAGAAATTAAGCCCATTTTCCATCCCCAAGCATGGGGTTTAGCATCTGGGGAAGGCAACGCCACAGGCAGAAGCAACAGTTTTGGCACCGGGAGATTGCACGTAAGGCCTCAAGTTTGGATTCTTCAAGTACCCACAAAGGCATGGCCTTTGCTCTCTCAGCTTACTGCAACAACTGGCCGATGGCCGCGTTGACGATGAAATTGCCCCAACACACGAGCTCAGCTGCAAATGACTGCAAGTCACCGCATCCGCCAGATGAGCTCCGGCGAGAAGCGCCATGATCGCCACCACCAAAAGCCAAAGGCCTGTGATCGGAAGTTTCTTCATTCTTTTTGGTTTTGAGAGGAATGATGTGTGAGAATTAGTGGAAAATAAAAGAGAATGGTGGGTGTGTGTATTTGCCATATCCCTTGTACTAGTATTTATAGCCTCGTAAGGTGGAAAAGGTGTTAGTGTAGGTAGGTTTGAGCCTCCATATTCGTTTGGGAATACATGTTCGTGAGTTCTGTTAAGTCAAGGACAAATTGGGACAGGTAGGGAATTAAATCCTATGATGACCATCACCTACTTTAGGAATTATTAATTCTGATATGTTTCGTGACACCAAATGTTGTAGGGTCAGACGGTTGTCATGGACTTTACCCCGACTAAGAATAGACCAACTATTAAATCTCGGATGGAAATTTCTTTTACCTATATCTCTCGGTAATCTATTATTAACAACTTCTTTTCAACTCTTTTCACTGTAAAGGAATACCATATTCTATATTCACGACTTGCTCAAACAAGAGAAAGAAACAAACATAAAATTCTTTAGAGATATTACAATATGTTCCCTATGGTAACTGGGTTCATGAATTATGGTCAACAAACAGTACGAGCTGCAAGGTACATTGGTCAAAGTTTCATGAT